TTTTTTTTAATAGCCCAGAAGAATGAAAAAGGAAGAGAAATTCCTCTCCATGACAGGTTGCCATGATGCTGAAAGTGCAGCAGGACAAACTCAGGGGTTTACAAGTGGACTAAGCATCGTCGAATAACACGAGACTGTCCAGATAACTCCAATGTTCTTAACTGCTTGTCATGTTTTGTTCATTTTTACAGATGCTAAAAGCACTCCTTCGCACAATTCACTCTGATTCTAGAAGATTAACGTGTTTTTAAAATAAATAAGCATACAGAAGTATTTTTAGTGTGTTCAGGACCTGCCCTCCTGCTGGAAGAGCTGACACCCAACAACCACAGCAGACTTGGGCTCTCACTTCCTGCCCTTCCTAAGACGATGGTGCCATCACGCGGCCACACTGTCAGGTTTCACGGTACCTCGGCAACGCTTTTGCTGCCTTCCCCTTTCAAAACGTTTATTTTCCTTAAAGGATCTTTTATCAAAATTACCACCTTCACCACGACACAACGCAAACAGCAGGACGCCTCGAAGAACCGTCCTGGCCACTGGGAATGGATGAGTCCATTGGATGAGTGGGCATGGTCACCTTTTAATCATAGGATCAGAGATTCATTTTGGTTGGAAAAGACCGTGAAGATCAAGGAGTCCAAACGCTAACCTAACACTGCCAAGTCCACCACTTAACCATGACCCTAAGTACCATCTCTGCATCTCATTTAAATATGTCCAGGGATGGTAACTCAGCCACTTCCCTGGGCAGTTTGTTCCAATGCCCTTTCAGAAAAGACATTTTTTCTAATACCCAATCTATACCTTCTCTGGCACAATTTGAGGCCATTTACTCTTGTTCTGTCACTTCTTACTTGGAGAAGATAACAATACCTGTCACACTATAAGCTCTTCTCAGGTAGCTGTAGAGAGGGATAAGGTCTCCCCTCATCCTTTTTTTCCCCAGACTGAATAGTTCCCTCAGCTGCTCCTCATCAGACTTGTGCTCCAGGCACCAGCTTCACTGCCTTTCTTTTGGACATGCTGCAATACTTCATTGTCCATCTTGTAAAGGCCCCAAACTGAGCACAGTATTTGGTGGTTCAGGTGAGGTTCAGGGGGACAATCACTTCCCTAATCCTGCTGGCCACATTATTTCTGATACAAGCCAGGGTGCTGTTGGCCTGCTTGGTGACCTGGGCACACAGCTGGCTCATATTCAGCTGGCTATCAACCAATATTCCCAGATCCCTTTTCTCTGGGCAGCTTTCCAGTCACTCTTCCCAAGGCTGTAACACAGCTGTTGTGACCCAAGTGCATGACCTGACACTGTCCTGGTTTGAGCCAGGATAAAGCCAATTTTTCTTTTTACTGATTTTTTTCCTTCAGTAAGCTTTCTTGTAACTAGCAACAGTGTGTTCTGCTAGGCTGATAAGACAGTGGAATGTTTTTCTAACTACTGAGGCTTCAAGGCTGCACCTGCACTCTGCCGGC